CGTGTCCGCGTGTCTGACCCGCCCTGTCCGTCTGTCATGTCCTCAGCCGCCCCACTCTGGCTCCGTGTCCGCGTGTCTGACCCGCCCTGTCCGTCCCTTTCCTGACTCCTCCTCCTTCCCATCTGCCAGTTGTGAGCAGGCCAAAGATCTACAGCTCCGTTCTCCACTCCTATCTCCGTGTTTTTAAAACCTCTGGGAAGACCCGTCCATGCTGTCTCACGCGACAGCTGTCCAGCCCTTCCCCCCGGCATCCTTTGTCCGCACACACCCTCTTTTCCCAGGGCAACATCCCTGGGTCCTACAGTTGTCACGTGCTGTGGTTTCTGGACCTTGCCTGGTCAGTGCTCACTCAGACGTCCACTCATATGTGGATGCCACCCCTCCTATAACCTGCTATCCCGCAGAGCGCTCCGAAGAAGAGAAATTCAAATGGCTTAAACGTGGAAGTGCGCCCAACATCGCCAGGTGCCAAAGGAATTCCAATCAGATTAAGATACTATCTTTCCCATGAAACTGGCAGAGACTTAGAAACACACCCCGTCTCAGGAAGGGCGTCACAAGCTGCCGGTGACAGCGCACGCCGGGCACAACTTTTCTGGGAGGCAAGGAGGAGCGTGTTAGCGACCTGAGAAACAGACACCACTCGGCACACAAACCCAGAAATCTGTCAAAAACGGTAATTTCTTAAGGATGCAGCACATTCAAAAACGCACTATAAGCTCAGAAACCACCACGCTCACACACTCACACTGATCTGCTGCTGTGTTTTATACCTAAATATTCACTTGGGTAGGTAGAACTGTATTTTATTCCCATATGCCAGAGTTGCAAACATGATTTTAAAATACAGGTAGTCCCTGGCTTGCGATGGGGTTCCATTCTGATGACTGTCGTTACGTCGGTTCTGATGTAAGTCTCATATCTTTTTTTTTAAGTTTTCATTATTATTGTTTTTATGATCAGTTCTGTATAAATCCAATCTTTGACATCTGCGAGTCAACGTCTGAGAAACGGCACCCTCAGCAAACCCCGTGCTGTGACATCGCATGTAGTGTATATTACTAACGGTGAGACGTACCGAAAAAAAGGTCATAAATGTGGTTTGTTGTAACTCGAATACGTGGGAAGTCAAGAACTACCTGTACAGTGAAACCTGTGAGAGCCAGAACCGGACAGGACTCCATTTCTCTGGGTCTCGTGAGTTTTCTGCCTTCGTCAGCAGGCGGTCTTACTGCTTGTCTATCACTCTTTACAACTGGACGATATTTGCATTTTCCCTCTCTGACAGGTTCTGGCTTTCGCAAGTGTTACTGCAATATGTACCATAACTTCCCCTGAAGATAAGAACTTCTCAGAGTAAAAATTTTAAGAAACTGCCTCCCTAAGTAACTTCCTGTCCCAGAGGGCTTGCCCAAAGCACGGGATCCACACCTCCCCAACATGCGCAGGTAGTTCTGCCTCTGCCGAGACCGCAGGGTCTTCTCCACCCACTGTCGGTGCCGCAGCTTCGCGGAGGAGACGACCTGGTCGCACACCTGCTGGCACTGTGCGCTGACTTTTCGGAGCACGGCAAGCACTTCGAGAACAATTCGGGGGCAGTACAAAGTCGGGATGGATGTGCCGCAGAGCACCCGGAGCGCCTGGGACCACCTGCAGATTAGATGGTGACTCTGAGTGTACCTTTAATGACCGACATGTGTATTGTTACATTTAGGTCTGCTGAAACAACTGTCACACAGGCAGGTATTAATCACGTGCGTGCTTAACTGCCTGGAACCAAGCGTGCGTAGTGTTCCACCAGACACCACAGCACGGGCAAATACTCCCAAAGCTTACCTAGTTGTAAGGGCCCCGGTGGTGCAGTAGTCAAGAGCGACAGCTGCTAACCCAAAGGTCAGCAGTCTGAACCCACCACCTGTTCCTTGGAAACCCTATGAGGCAGTTCTACTCTGTCCTGTAGAGTCGCTGTGAGTCGAAACTGACTCAAAGGCAACCGGTTTGGTTTCGGATCTAGTGGTACACATCTCATAACCGTAACTCTTCCTTGGGGCAGTAAGAGTGGAATTCCAATGCTACTACCAAATAACACAATTCAAAAAACAGAGAACAGCTGTGTTTATACTCCGAATTTGCTTAATCAATGTTTTCACAATTCCCAGAATGTTCTGAAACTTACTTCTCAGCAGGAAAATAATCCAAGTTATCAAGACCACTGTGATACCCAGGTAAGTGACGGCAGAGCTCAGACATGATCTTTATAATTAAAGACTTGCAGGCATTTGTTTCAAACTGACCTTCTAATCTGAAATATATAAAATATTAAGGTAAATAACAATAATTAATATGTCCACATTAGGCCAATGAAAAATAGTGTTAATTTTAATGGTTCACTGAGCAAAGTGATTTTGTTTCCTCAGATGTAAAATGAGATGCCATCACAAACCTCAAATGTAAAATGAAAAGACCACCACTACAGACCCCTAAAATAAAATGAACCCCCCACTGCAGACCCCAAATGTAAAATGAGACCCATCACAGGCCCCCAATGTAAAATGACACCATCATAGACCCCAAATTAAAACAAGACCCCCCACTGCAGACCCCAAAGGTAAAATGAGAGACCCATCACAGACCCCAAATGTAAAATGAGAGACACCATCATAGACCCCAAATTAAAACAAGACCCCCCCACTGCAGACCCCAAATGTAAAATGAGACGCCCATCCCAGAAGCAGTGGTAAAAACACACAGCACATCTGCTGAAAGCAGTGAACTTTGTTGATAAGAGACTGAGTCCACAGGGGGCCCTATGCCTCACTGGTCTCTCTTGCCTCACTGCTCTCCTGAGCCAGCCAGTCTTCCCACATGAACATCACCATCCTTCCCACAAGCCCACATCTCCTGTGCTGGGCCTGAGCACTTCCCGCCCTCCCACTGCCCAGCCTGGTCTCCAGCCTCTCCAGTCCACCTCAGCATCCTGCCTCTGACAGGCTGGCTGCAGAAGAAATCCTGGAGTTGACTGTAACTGACACCATCTCACACCAGCCTCGGGGTGAACTATACCTGGCTGCTTCCAGAATGCGCTCTTCCGGCAAAGGAAGTGCAGGCCAACTGTGGATGCTTTCCTCACACCTCAGCACCTGAAAAAGGAGGCGTTTCGTTATTTTTAAATATTTTACCATTGACTTCCCAGAAATACACAATTTTAAATTGATACAGATGTTTCCAGGAAGCCCCCTAGGAAATTATCTTTTTAATACAGGACTTCAAACAGAAACCAAAAACCAAAAAAACCTCAAAAATTTTGCAAGTGAAACCAACAACCAAATTGAAAAAAATTTTTCTGAACCAGAACTGAAATGGAGATAGTTTCTTTTTGCTCTACTATTTTTGGTTCAACAATATCTTAAGCTGTAAGCAAGACCACTGGACCGTTCACGTTTGATTTGCATCTGGTGCCCATGTATGCTGAATGCGTCTCTGGCACACGGCTGGTGAGGGCACAGTTCGTTGCTTCAGTAGGCGAGGCTGTGCAGCCCCAGCGATAGATGATGACGACCATGACAGGAGACGACTCACACGCAGTCAGAGGTCGCTGTTTCTGTTCCGAGCGTGACCTCCCGCACGGTAACGAGAGCTGTGCCTGCTGAAGATGCGAGAAGCCCTCGGTGACTGAGAACACTCGTAGTCAGAAATCCGGAAGAGCAGGTTAACCTGCATTGAGTTCTGAACAGTTTCATGTGAACGGAAATTTGTCAGGTGTCAACATTGTAAACCTACATTATTCACATTTTATACATCTGATATTTAAATTCAAGAAGTAGAAAACAGTGTACGATTTTTTTAATTAAAAAGACAGTGTTTAATGAACAAAAATAAGAATGCTAGCTCAATATTCTTTATGTGAATTAAATCTTCCCAAGGCAACTACACTTATATACGTATTTCTTTAGTTTCTCATTCAAAAATGTATACACAGTTGTCTTGTGACAATGGCTGCAATCCAGGCATTGCGTCAGCAAGCTTCTCCTTTCCCTTTCCACCCCAGGTTCCCCATATCCATTCATCCAGTCTTCTGTCCCTTCCTGCCTTCTTGTCTTTGCTTTTGGGCAGATGTTACCTATCTGGTCTCTATACTTGATTGAGCTAAGCAGCATGTTACTCACACGTGTTACCGTTTGTTTTTATAGGCATGTCTAATCTTTGGCCGAAAGGTGGACTTCAGGAGTGGCTTCAGTTCTGAGATAGCAGTGTGTCGGGGGCCATAGTCTCAGGGGTTCCTCCAGTCTCTGTCAGACCAGTAAGTCTGGTCTTTTTCTGTGAATTTGAATTTTGTTTTACATTTTTGTCCCGCTCTGTCTGGAACCCCCTATTGTGATCCCTGTCGGAGTGGCTGCTGGTGGTAGCTGGGCACCATCTAGTTCTCCTGGGTTCAGGCTGGAGGAGGCTGTGGTTCGTGTGGTCCTTTAGTCCTCTGGACTATTTTCCTTGTGTCTTTGGTTTTCTTCATTCTCCTTTAGTCCTGACAGGATGGGACCAACAGATGTATTTTAGGTGGCCACCAGCAAGCTTTTAAGACCCCAGACACTACTCACCAAAGTAGGAGGTAGAACATTTTATGAACTACGTTATGCCAATTGAATTAGATGTCCTCCGAGACTACGGTCCCCAGCCCTCAACCCCAGTAACTTGGTCCCTCAAGATGTTTGGCTGTGTCTAGGAAGCTTCTATGACTTTGCGTTGGTCAAGCTGTGCAAACTTCACCTACACTGTGTGCTGTCTTTTCCTTCACCAAGCTTAACACTTGGAGCCCTGGTAGCGCAATGGTTAAGCGCTTGGCTGCTAACCAAAAGGACGGCAATTCAAATCTACCAGCCACTCCATGGAAACCCTACGGGGCAGTTCTTCTCTGTCCTATAGGGACGCCATGAGTCGGAATCGACTCAGCAGCAATGGGTTACTATCTAGTTAGTGATTTCCCCTCCCCACAGCATATAATTTTTTGATGATTCTATCCTTGCATTCAATCTCAATGTACTATCACAAAGTTTGCACTTACATGTTTAAATTTCGTATTTACCTCATAAATTGAAATGTTACCAAACACAAGCAGCTTGATGTTCTTGTTAGATGCCACTGAGTTCGTTCCAACTCATAGTGACCCCATGTACAACAGAATGAAACAGTGCCCAGTCCTGCGCCATCCTCACAATCATTGCTATGTTTGAGCCCATTGTTGCAGCCACTGTGTCAATTCATCTTGTTCAGGGTCTTCCTCTTTTTACTGACCCTCTACTTTACCAAGCATGATATCCTTCTCCAGGGATTGGTCCCTCCTGATAACATGTCCAAAGTATGTGAGACAAAGTCTTGCCATCCTTGCTTCTAATTGCATTCTGGCTGTACTTCTTCCAAGACAGATTAGCTCGTTCTTCTGGCAGTCCATGGTATATTCAATATTTTTCAATAACATCATAATTCAAATATTTTTTCTTCCATCTTCCTTATTCACAGTCCAGCTTTCACATGCATAAAAGGCAACTGAAAATACCATGCATAGCTTGGATCAGGCATACCTTAGTTCTCAAAGCGACTTTACTTTTTAACACTTTAAAGAGGTCTTTTGCAGCAGATTTTCCTAAGGCAATACGTCATCTGATTTCCTGCCTGCTGCTTCCGTTGGTGTTGATTGTGGATCCAAGTAAAATGAAATCCTTGACAACTTCAGTCTTTTCTCCGTTTATCATGATGTTGCTTATTGGTCCAGTTGTGAGGATTTTTCTTTGTCTTGAGGTGCAATCCATACTGAAGGCTGTGGTCTTTGATCTTCATTAGTAAGTACTTCAAGTCCTCTTCACTTTCAGCAAGCAAGGTTGTTGATGAGTCTTCCTCCAATCCTGATGCCCTGTTCTTCTTCATAGAGTCCAGCTTTTCGCATTATTTGCTCAGCATGCAGACTGAATAAGTATGGTGAAAGGATATAACCCTGATACACACCTTTCCTGACTTTAAACCACGCGGTATCCCCTTGTTCTGTTCCAACGACTGCCTCTTGATCTACGTACAGGTATGTTATCTGCATATCGAAGGTGGTTAATGAGTCTTCCTCCAATCCTCATGTTGAGTTCCTCTTTATATAGCCTAGCTTTTCAGACTGAATTAGTAAAAGGATACAACCTTGATGCACACCTTTCCTGATTTTAAACCATGTGGTATCCTCTTGTTTGAATAATTGCCTCTTGCTCTATGTACAGGTTCAGCATGAGCACAATTATGTGTTCTGGAGTACTCATTCTTCCCAATGTTATCCATAATTTGTTATGATCCACACAGTCAAACATCTTTGCATGGTCACTAAAACACAGGTAAGCATCTTTCTGGTATTCTCTGCTTTCAGCCAAGATCCATCTGACATCAGCAATGATAATCCCTCATTCCACGTCCTCTTCTGAATCCAGTTTGACTTCCTGGCCGTTAACTGTCAACGTACTGCTCCAATCATTTTTAAATCATCTTTCAAAAAATCCTACTTGTGTATGATATTAACAATATTGTTTCAAAATTTCCGCATCTCCTCTCTTTGGAATGGGCACATAAATATATCTCTTTAGTCAGCTGGCCAGGAAACCGTCTTCCAAATTTCCTGACATCTCCAGAGCTGCATCCCTTTGCTGAAATATCTCAATTGGTATTCTGTTAATTCCTGAAGCCTTGTTTTTTGTCAATGCCTTCAGTAAAGTTTGCAGCTCTTCCTTCAATACCATCGATTCTTGATTAAATGCTACCTCCTGAAATGGCTGAACATCAACCTATTCTTTTTGGTACACTGACTCTGTGTATTCCATCTTCTTTTAATGCTTTTTTGCACACAAGATACTTCAATACTGCAACTTGAGGCTTGTATTTTTTCTTCAGTTCTTTTCATCTGACAAATGTTAAGTGTGTTCTTCCTTTTTGGTTTTCTAACTCCACGTCTTTGTACATTTCATCATAATACTTTGTCTTCTCGAGCCACCCTTTGAAATCTTCTGTTCAGCTTTTACTTCATTATTTCTTCCATCTGCTTTAGCTATTCTATGTTCAAAAGCAAGTTTCAGAGTCTCTTCTGACATTCATTTTGGTCTTTTCTTTCTTTCCTGTCTTTTTAATGACCTCTTGCTTTCTTCATGTATGATGTGCTTGATGTCATCACACAACTCATCTGGTCTTTGGTCATTAGCATTCAGTGCATCAAATCTATTCTTGAGATGGTCTCTAAATTCAGGTGGGATATACTCAAGGTTGTATCTTGGCTCTCATGGACTTGTTTTAATTTTCTTCAGCTTCAACCTGAACTTGCAAATGAGCGGTTGATGGTCTGCTCCACAGTCGGCCCCTGGCCTTGTTCTGACTGATATTGAGCTTCTCCATCGTCTCTTTCCACAGATAGTTGATTTGATTCCTGTGTATTCCATTCGGTGAGGTCCATGTGTACAGTCACCATTTATGTTGTTGAAAAAAAGTATTTGCAATGAATAAGTCATTGATCTTGCAATATTCTACCATGCAATTTCTGATATTGTTTCTATCACTAAGGCCCTGTTTTCCAACTACTGATCCTTCTTTGTTTACAACTTTGGCATTCCAATCACCAGTAATTAATTATCAATGCATCTTTATTGCATGCTTGATCAATTTCATACTGCAGAAGTTGGTAAAAATCTTCAATTTTTTCATCTTTGGCATTAGTGGCTGGTGTCAAAATGTGAACAACAGTCGTATTAGCTGGTCTTCCTTGTAGGCGAATGGATAAATACTAGCCACTGACAGCTGTACTTCAGGATAGATCTTGAAATGTCTTTTTGAACATGACTGTGATACCATTCGTCTTTAATTTGTCATTCCCGGCACAGCAAACTATACGATTGTCCAATTCAAAACAGCCAATATCGGTCCATTTCTGCACAGTAATGCCTAGAATATTGAACTTTATGTGTTCCATTTCATTTCTGATGACTTCTAATTTTCCTAGATTCATACTTTGTATATTCCACGTTCCAATTATTAATCAATGTTTGCAGCTGTTATTTTGAGTTGTGCCACATCAGCAAATGAAGGTCCCAAAAGCTTGACTCCATCCACGTCACTAAGGTCGACCCTACTTTGAGGAGGCAGCTCTTCCCCACTGAGTGCCTTCCAACCTGAGGGGCGCATCTTCCGGCACTATACCAGACAATGTTCTGCTGCTATTCATAAGGTTTCTACTGGCCAATTTTTTTAGAAGTAGACCTCCAGGTCCTTCTTCCTAGTCTGTCTTAGTTTGGAAGCTCCGCTGAAACCTGTCCACCATGGGTAACCCTGCTGGTATCTGAAATACTGGTGGCATATCTTCCAGCATCACAGTAACTAATATGAAGAAAATTAATATTTCAATTGCAATATACCGTTATTTCACTGAAAACAACTTGATGGCATCACTATGAAGTGAGATTTTTCTTCAAAAAGGTGCTGGATTAATGTATGAGAATGTTGTAAAGTGGGACCTCAAACGGAAGAAATCAGCAAACGCTGTGAATGTAAAATTAAAGTTATTCTGGTTTTTATAATATACTGACAATACAGGACTAGAAGCATTTCTATATGTACTAGCTCTAATTCACTTCTACAAAGATATTTAAGTATTGTATTCTCTTTATGTATCACCCTAAAAACTTGTTTTTACTATAATGTATGAAAAAAAGAAAAAAAAACCCCATTGCTACTGAGTCAACTCACAGCGACCCAAAAGGACAGAGGAGAACTGCTCCACAGAGTTTCCAAGAGAAGCGGCTGGTGGATTCAAACTGCCGATCTTGTGGTTAGCCGCCGGGCTCTTAACCACTGTGCCACCAACGCTCCGTAATGTAATACGGTGACGATAAAGTGTGCCCTAATGTCAGTATCGGACCCTGGTGTCACAGTGGTCAAGAGCCCGGCTGCTAACGAAAAGGCTGGAGGTTTGAGTCTGCCCAGAGCTGCCTCAGAAGAAAGGCCTGGTGACCTACTTCCAAAAAAACAGCCACTGAAAACCCTATGGAGTACAGTTCTACTCCGACACACATCGGGGCGCTGTGAGTTGACAACAGTAAGAGAGAAGCCCTGGCTAGCTGGGGGTAAGACAACAGGTGGTGAGCCCGTAGTGTGTCCACTGAATACGAAGAGTGCACTAGGACGCAAACATTGTCGTCACTTCTAACCTGGAGATACGAGCCCGATGCCCTGGAAGGCTGAGTCCCTAGCCTGAGGGACACAACTGGGCAGCGAGCCAGACCCGCTGGTGCCAACGCAGAGGCTGAGCCCAAGCTGACAGCATGGAGCTGCCTCCTGCTGAGCAACGCCGCCAGAGATGCTCAGCTTCATGCCCCTCCTGGGCTCTCTCCCGCCAGCCCTCTCCCCACAGCCCTCTCCTGGACCCTCTCCCCCCAGCCCTCTCCCCCCGGCCCTCTCCCGGGCCCTCTCCCCCCAGCCCTCTCCCCCCGGCCCTCTCCCCCCGGCCCTCTCCCCCAAGACCTCTCCCCACAGCCCTCTCCCAGGCCCCACCTCCTGCACACCTGCTTTTTCAGCTGAGAAGCTGGATGAAAGTGAGAACTATAGCCTTCTGCGATGCTAATCAATGATTTTATTGCCGCTTTTTCCTAGTTTAGAAAAAAGAGACATGAGTTGAGTTACTGAAACTTTTGGCTAGGTTTCCAGTTTTCCTCCACTGAATTACAAATCATTTAAGAGTCTCAGTTCCCATGATCTCCTTCAAAGGACCCCACTCAGCTATAACAGAAGCTGTAACAGATAACCCTACTCTATTTGGCTGTAACAAGGCAGGACTCCTCACTACAGTGGGTTGGCATGGTAGTCAGTCATAACCAGCAAAATGACTTTCAAATGAAGCTAGGTAAAAATGGTAAGTTACAAAGACCACTTCTGTCTTCTTCCCACACTAACCTTTCTACATTAATTTTTCTATGTTGTTTGAACTTTTCAACAATTTTTATAACAGCTGCCATATGTAAATCTGAAAGCAGATGAAATGTCAATAACAAAAATTTCCAACAAAATTACTTGTTTTAAAAGAAACAATTTACATACAATTTATTGATGGATACAAATACCCCACCCATACCAACTTGAACGCCATCTTTAAAATTTCCCAGTATTTGGCTGATCCTGTTTTGTAATGCGTTATCTGGTTCTCAGTGCCCCTGGATGCATTCCTAAGACCTGGGTCAGGTTATCTCTGAGCAGCTTAAGCAACACTTACTGCTCTGTTACAGGCTGTGAGGAGGCTGCACACAGAGAACCGACTGAGGTATTTGCTCCAATGGGGAGACTGGCTCAGTCAACTAAGGCAGGAGCTGATGAAGGGTGAGGAGACTCTGGCTCAGTCAACTAAGGCAGGAGCTGATGAAGGGTGAGGAGACTCTGGCTCAGTCAATTAAGGCAGGAGCTGATGAAGGGTGAGGAGACTGGCTCAGTCAATTAAGGCAGGAGCTGATGAAGGGTGAGGAGACTGGCTCAGTCAACTAAGGCAGGAGCTGATGAAGGGTGAACTACATTTGAAAACGCACAGCTGAGAAAGGGGAGCTAACCAACCCTTCCCCTCCCCGTACTGACCTTCAACACTGATACTACATCTCCACTCGTGAACCTGAGTAAAAGCACAGTGGAAAACGCAAGCAACTGATTGGCTGCTTCTCCTGGAAATTCATTTAAGTTGACCTCCCCGTGGCTTAAACGATCTCTTATGCGGGGACCCTCCTGATGGTTCAAGAAGTCCCAGAGAAACTCCTTCAGACAGTGGACAAGAAAACATTTTGTTAGCAGGATCACAAAACAACTGCAGACTTAAATTTCTGGTGTTACACGCTCATTAACGTGTTCACTATGATGAAGGTAATGACGCCGCGCAGTTGAATCGTCCGCTCACTGGTCCTGAGTTCTTACTGTGCCCACACTACAGACCAAGCGGTCGTGGGTGGTGGGAGAAAGCAGGTCCCTGCCTCATGGAGTGGACTCTCTACTGGGGCTACAGACAGACAGACAGACACACAGTCAGGAAGTAGTAGGGCTATGGAAAAAAAAAACAAACAGAACAAAGAAGGGGCTTGAAAACGACCAGAGAGGTGTTTTGGGAACATGCGTCAGAGCCAGTACCCCAGAGGAGCAGACAGGCTGAAGCACACGGACTTGGGGGCAGGGGTGGGGGTTCCCGGCAGCGGGAACAGCGGGTGTCTCGGCTGGAGTCCGGCCTCCCTGAAGCTGCGTTCTTTCTGACTCAGCAGCCACCTCAGCAGCACTGACGGAACTGGAGAGGTTCCGAGGACCAGCTGCAGAGGGCGAAAGGACCACCGGGTGGGGCTGGTTCTCGTTCCCGTCTTCCTCTAAGGCGGAGAACGAGGCTGACCACCTGTGCAAACTGGCTCTTCCAAGGCCACAGACGCATCGCTCCTCTCTTCTCGTATGAACACCAAAAACCAAACCAAACCCGTAGCCATGAGGTCGATTCCAACTCCTAGCAACCCTACAAAGACAGAGTAGAACTGCCCCCCAGGGTTTCCAAGGAGCGGCTGGTGGATTTGAAATGCTGACCTCCTGTCTCCTCGCTACTCTCTCCAAACGTGCCCTTTTTGGTCTGGTTTTCACCTCTGAAGCCCGATGAAGATGACTGTTCTCCCTGCCAACAACCAGCCCAGACACCCGCCCACAGGAGGCAGGGAGAGGGCTCAGAAACTGCTGGCTGGCAAACGGCCAGCAGATGGCGAGCTAGAGATTCAGGGTGAGAAAGGGCAATGCTAAGTAACTCCTGCATCTTAGGAACCCGGAGGGGACGCCCAGGGAGCTTGTTTTAGGAACACAGATGGGACGCCCAGGGAGCTCATTTTAGGAACGCGGACGGGATGCCCGGGGAGCCCGTTTTAGGAACGCGGACGGGACGCCCGGGGAGCTTAGGGCAGTGAGAAACGTCACAGAGAAGAACTGGGATCAGGGTTCCCCAGCACTGTGTTCCATCAGGCTCGTTCCTCGGCCCCGAATTCTGACGCCACCTCCTACTCTATGGACATCCAAGAGATGGGAGAGTCGGCACCTGGCGGTAATGTCTGTTTTTAAAAAAATGTGTAAGCCTTTTCACTAAAGTCCACAGAGTCCTTTTTAAACGGTTTTAGAAAAATATAAATCCAACAGAAGATCCTAAAAAAGGGGAAGCAGAAGCCAAATTTGAAAGATTTCTTTACACATAATTGATAAGCATAGGACTGGTTCGGAAGTATCTTCCTGAGCTTAACACAAGCCAAAGTTAATTTCCTTGTGGAGAGGAGCTAGTGGCATTCACAAATACAAAAATACTAGACTGGGGATACCTAATACTTTACCATAACAGGCTCCCCAAGGAGAAGTGGAAGTTGATTGATTGTACCATCGTTCAACTCTTTTGCCAACATCTGAAACACCAAGAATAAACGAACTGATTTATCAGTACACACACACACGCACACACACAAGCACACACATGCACACAAGCACACACAAGCACACACACACAAGCACGCACACACACACACAAGCGCACACACACATACACACACAAGCACACACACACACAAGCGCACACACACACGCACAGAACTCGGGATACCATGCCTCTGGTGTGACCTGTACTATAAGCCCAAGAAAATCAGATAGATGGGCAGTCTTAAAAACACAGAAAACACCTGGTCGGGAAAACTTCTCTTAACCAGTATAATGACTAAGAAACATATTTAAAACTTGTAAAGTTTCTGAGAGAGAAGAACAATGCTAAATTTCACATCTAGATTTTACTTTTCTGTGAACAAACACAAATATGATTATAAACACACATATACGCACACACGTACGTATGTGTACATAATTTAAATACACACATACAGATAAATACCAGTACACACCAGAGTCACTTCCTAAGTCACTTAACTCACCATGGACTTCAGGACCAACCACCCCGCCCCACCCCATACAGATGTGACCACCCTGATCACACTAATTTACCGCATTCCAGTACCAAGTGCAGGTTATAGCAATGTAACAGCAGACCTGCCTTTACCTCCTGGCATGCACCCTGCCGGCAAGCACCCCCACCCACTCACGTGGGAATCTGTTACCTTTCGGAAGCGAGGACTGATGATCGAGTCCCTAGACACTGACATAAGGACCCTCCCTTGCTTTCTTCCTAGAGGCTAGCTCTGTGGTATCGTGCTTTAGGGCAACAGAACTACTCCCCAGGATTACACACACAAAGGCCTGGACTCATGGTGGGTGATTAAAGATATTTCTAACGGTAATTCCCTGAGGTGATGACTCTATTGTCCCCGTTCACAGATTAAATGCATCAGTGTATACTGTATAATCATGAGAGTCAAACTAACAAAACCAAACTCGTTGCCATCGAGTCAATTCTGACTCATAGCGACCCTACAGGACACAGGAGAACTGCCCCACAGAGTTTCCAAGGAGCGCCTGGTGAATTTGAACTGCTGACCTTTTGGTTAGCAGCCGTAGCACTTAACCACTATGCCACCAAGGTTTCCCATAAGACAGTAGTTGATGTATACTTCATCTGGAAAAAATAAAGTTGACTTGAAATCTAAAATGTAAGCCTCTAAATAATTACAGCCAGTAATGTTAGCAGGACTTGGCATTTTCCAACTTTGAGCTTCTATAACTTTAGAAACTAGATGAATAACACTGTCTCAAAATTAGCCTGAAACCTACACTTAACTCTATTATAAGCTGTTTCTGTTTTAAATTGCTATCAATATTTTCCCGTAAGCTTATGAATTATGACTGGTCTTTAATTTTGTATTTTAATTTGTATTTTAAAAGAACACAATGTTTTCTCTGTTTAGAGATACTGTACAAGTTTAGCTACTCACCTCATCAAAGGTCGTATAAAGAACTGTTGACTTCAGAAATGGAGAGAAAAGGAAAGAAATAATTCAAACAAAATACGAATAGAGCGACATCATTCAAACTAGAAACAAACTCTAGTATGTGGCCACGAGTCTGAAACCTCCTTTTGAAAATAAACCATCTATCGTCACTTCGGGAAGAAGGTCACTGACAGAATAAACGTGATGCAGAAAGCGTGACAGTGCAGTGATCCCAGTAATGGAGCTGCGTGAGGCGCAGTGAACCCAGTAATCAAGAACACTCCCACCCATGACTGGGATTTGTGGAACAAAGTACACCTCAGCATTTTGTCTAGCCGTCAGTCTCCGCTCTATGTGCTCCCTGGTGGAACTGGAAGAGTTTGAGAACACAGGCTCCGGGGTCACACTGCCTCCAATTCTAATCCCAACTTCAACACTTTCTACAAGCGAAGCCCAGGGCAGCTTATTTTAACTTGAAAAGCGTCTGAAACAGCCCAAATCAAAAGTGGATGACAGAGCAGATGTGGAGGACAAAGTGCAGGGAGAAGGAAAAGACAGTACCAGGGCGACAAGTGGGTGAGTGATGGTAATAAAAGGGACATCGGGGAACAAATCTGTAGGAGAAAAAATGCTTTTTTGAAATAAAGGGAACTTGAGATGCTGGGAAGTAGGGATGCATATGAAGACACTCGGGGAAACAGGCGCACACCTAGCCCTGGAGGTGAGGAGACTGTGGGTGGGAGACAAGGCTGGGCGGGAATCGCTGGACCAAGGCCACAGGCTGCCCTCCTGCCGCGGCTCCAGCTGCACCCCTCTACTTCCGATGTGCGGGGCTTCCATTTTCATTAGGTCCAAAATACCTTCTAATTGTTACTGTTCCCACAGAGGTGACAATTTAAGGCAGAGGATCATGCGAGAACTCCCAGGAAGAAAATGGAAAGAGACAACAGGGTCGACAGCAGAATTCTGAGGAATACCCATATATGGAAAAGAGGAAGCTAAATTTGTGAAAGAAATGAGAGTGCAAGGTGGGGCATGCACTTCTTTTCTCTTCCTGCTAGTCTGGGATGCAGATGTGATGGCTGGAGCAGTGGGCGTGAGCCATGAGGAAGAAGTCATCTTTTGAAGATGGCAGGCCACGGCGGGAGAGCAGCCACCTCAGCTCTGGACTGTCACGTTGTGTCTTACATGCATCATGTGTACATCGGGCTTCTGTCACTGACCATCACTGCTAACAGAGGGCAGACCGAGAGGCTATGGAAGCTGAGGAGGAGTGTGCAGAAGCAGGGGATGGTGGCCAGGGCCCGGGGACCTAAGAAGGTAGCAGGGTGGAAACTGGCCGAGAGTCTCAGCTCAGACACTGCCACTAGGAGCTCACTCACGACCCCTGCCACAGCAGCGGGGACATAAAGCTGATGGAAAGTGGGCGTGAAAAGGCCACCACTGTCTACATAACAGCAGGCAGTGCACTGGGCACTTTATACAGACTATCTCTAAATCCAACAGCTTTCTTGGGAAGTGTTACTACCTCATTTTTAAAATGAATAAACCAAAGCTCAGTGGATTTAATTACATTCCCGAGGCCAAGTGCAGCACTAGGGGGCAGAGCCAGGAGTCAGCCCAGGTCTCCCGCGGCCTTACAGCCAGTGTTGTCCTGTGTCTCGCAGAGAACATGTGTAATGGGCGAGACACAGGGTCACACACTCACAGACAGAAAGTGGTTCTTCTGGTCCCTAATACCTAACTACAGCTGAACACAAAATAAGTGCTTCTATGACATGATTAAGCTTAAAAGACTACTAGGAAGTATCAAAGAACTATCAAAACCAATCATAAATAAATATATAAATCCCATAAAATAAATATAACAGGAAGTCACAAAAAAAGTCGAGCCTTCTAAAGAAAGTTCTTAGCTTAAAAAAAATGCGCTCTAACTGTAAACAAACAAACGTAAACCGGCAATTCCGTCACAACAGCAATCCCCATCTGACACGAGCGTGTGCACCTCGGCTGTCAGGAGTCTCTGAGGGCACCTGTTGACCGTGGCAAAAGCTCTCCGAAGTCCAGCTTCTAGTTGTGTCAACAACAGTATAACGCAGTCCGCAAACCTGAGAAATTAGAGGGCAAGGAAGCAAAACTGCATTTAAAAATAAACATTGGCATCAGATTCACAGCAACTAGGCTGCAGACCACGTTTGCTATTGCGGCTAGTTGTCATCCAGCCAGCCCCCAACCTCACGGCAACCCCACAATGGGATCAGACCGTTGTGATCCACAGGGTTTTCACTGACTGAATTTCAGAAGTAGATCACTAAGCCTTTATTCCTAGTCTGTCTTAACCTGGAATCTCTGCTGAACCTTGTTCAGCATTACGGCAACATGCAAGTCTCCAATGACAGACGGGTGGTAGCTGTGAATGAGGTACATGGGCCAGGAATCGAACCTGGGTCTCCTGAATGGAAGGTAAGAATTCTACCACCTGAACCACCACGGGCCCCGTAGGCCAGATGTTACTAACACAGTATTCAAAGTAAGCAGATGCTGTATCAGTTGTGAATACAAGGTTCAAAACAAAAACAGAATCTCATTAGACAAGCGGTTTTAAAACTAGTCCATCATGCGTTTTAATGTTTGATAAGCCATTTTTAGCAGCTCCAGTAGAATAAAATGTCATCAAAGATTTAATCTGTTTCACCAAATCAAGCGATGAAGTTGTTAGGTGCTACTGAGTCAGTTCTGACTCACAGCGATCCTATGTACAACAGAACAAAACATTGCCCGGTCCTGCACTATCCTCACAATCATTGCTATGTTTGAGCCCACTGTTGCAGCCACTGTGTCAATGCATCTCATTGAAGGTCTTCCTCTTTTTCGCTGACCCTCTACTTTACCAAGCATGATGTCTGTCTTAGTCATCTAGTGCTGCTCTAACAGAAACACCACAAGCGGGTGGCTTTAGCAAAGAGAAGTTTATTTTCTCACAGTCCAGCAGGCTACAAATCCAAATTCAGGGCGTCAGCTCCAGGGGAACGCTTTCTCCATTGGCTCTGGAGGAAGGTCCATATCATCAATCTTCCCTTGGTCTGGGAGCTTCTCTGTGCAGGAACCTCAGGTCCAAAGGACATGCTCTGCTCCTGGCACTGCTTCCTTGGTGGTTATGAGGTTCCCATGTGTCTGTGCTCGCTTCTCTCTTTTATATCTCAAAAGAGATTGGCTTAACACACTATGCAACCTTGTAGATGTCATCAGTATAACCTCATCATAGTGATAGAGTTTACAACACATAAGGAGATCACATGTAACCCCATCATAGTGATAGAGTTTACAACACATAAGGAAATCACATCAGATTACAAAACTGGGAATCGTGACCCACACTTTTTTGGGGGGACATAATTCAATCCATGACAGTGTCCTTCTCCAGGGACTGGTCCCTCCTGATAACATGTTCAAAGTATGTGAGATGAAGTCTTGACAACCTTGCTTCTAAGGAGCGTTCTGGTTGTACTTTTTCCAAAACAGATTTGTTCATTCTTTTGGCAGTCCATGGTATATTCAATATTCTTCGCCAACACCATAATTCAAAGGCGTCAGTTCTTCTCTGGTCTTCCTTATTCATGGTCCAGCTTTCACATGCATATGAGGCGATTGAAAATGCCATGCCTTGCGTCAGGCGCACCTTAGTCTTCAAGGTGACATCTTTGCTTTTTAACACTTTAAAGAGGTCTTTTGCAGCAGATGTGCCCAGTGCAATTTGTCTTTTGATCTCCTGACTGCTGCTTCCATGGGCGTTGACTGCAGATCCAAGCAAAATGAAATCCTCGACTTCAGTCTTTTCTCCATTTAATATGATGTTGCTTATTGATCTACTTGTGAGGATTCTTTTCTTTAGGCTGAGGTGTACTCTATACTGAAGGCTGTAATCTTTGATCTTCACCAGTAAGAGCTTCAAGTCCTCTTCACTTTCAGCAAGCAAGGTTGTGCCATCTGCATATCGCAGGTTAATGAGTCTTCCTCCAATCCTGATGCCCTATTCTTCTTCATATAGTCCAGCTTCTCAGGGTATTTGCTCAGCATACAGACTGAATAATTATGGTGAAAGGTTACAATGCTGATGCACACCTTTCCTGATTTTAAGCCACTCAGTATCCCCTTGTTCTGTTGGAATGACTGCCTCTGCATCTATGCACAGGTTCCTCATGAGTAAAATTAAGTATTCTCGAATTCCCATTCTTCACAATGTTATCCGTAATTTGTTATGATCCACACAGTCGAACGCCTTCGCAGAGTCAATAAAACACGGGTAAACATCTTTCTGGTATTCTCTGCTTTCAGCCAAGATCTGTCTGACAACAGCAATGATATCCTATGTTCCAGGTCCTCTTCTAAATTTGGCTTGAATTTCTGGCAGTTCCCTGTCAATGTACTGTTGCAACTATTTCTGAATTATCTTCAACATAATTTTACTTGCTTGTGATATTAATGATATTGTTTGATAATTTGCAAATTCAGTTGGATCACCTTTCTTTGGAATGGGCACAAATATGGATCTCTTCCAATCAGTTGGCCAAGCAGCTGTCTTCCAGATTTCTTGGCACAGACGAGTGAGAGCTTCCAGTGTAGCATCCAGTTGCTGAAACATCTCAGTTGGTTTTCCATCAGTTTCTGGAGCCATGTTTTTCACCAGTGTCTTCAGGCAGCTTGGACTTCTTCCTTCAGGACCATTCGTTCTTGATCATATGCTACCTCCTGAAATGGCTGAATGCCGACCAATTCTTTTTGGTACAGTGACTCTGTATTCCTCCATCTTCTTTTGATGCTTCCTGCACTGTTCAATTTTTTGCCCATAGAATCCTTCAATATTTCAACTCAAGCTTCAGTTTTTTTCTTCAGTTCTTTCAGTTTGAGAAACGTTAAGTGTCTTCTTCCCTTTTGGTTTTCTAACTCCAGGTCTTTGCGCGTCATTATTTAATGCTTTGTCTTCTTCAGCTGCCCTTTGAAATCTTCTGTTCAGCTCGTTTACTTCATCATATCTCCCTTTTGCTTTAGCTACTCTACATTCAAGAGCAAGTTCCAGAGTCTCAAATAATAAATACTAAAAAGTACTCAAATACCAGGGATTCAGTGGTTTTCAAAGAATAAATCAAATACATCCAAAAAATGTAACCTCACAGGAATGGAAAACAATGCATTAGACTTACTGATGTCTATGATAGGTGTGTTTGGTTTGCTCCTGAGGGAGCATAATTCCATAAAGACAAACGTGACTTTGTCTTTGACTCCCTAACAATGGATATAACGTTCCACTCATGGTAAGAACACACACACAGACACACAGACACACACACACACACAAGCTGATTCTCAAAAAAAATTATGTATATTAACTGTACCGAAAGGATGACATATATATAGCGTTTAAATCACAATTACAAGATGTTTTTAACTGACTATCTGATGCCATCTTATGCTTCTGCCGATTCCTGAGTCAGCACCACTTCTATCCGCTTCTATTCCAATAGCAGAAAAGCACGGGCCGTCGGGGGCTTCAAGGAGGACTGGCTGTGATGGCAACAATGCTGCGTAATGCCACCCTTTCGTTACCTGTGGGATCTGAACTTGATGACTGCAGCCTCCCAGTATGGTAGCATTGTTTTGAATACAAAAGTGGATTTCTTCATCACGTCTTCCAACACTGAAAGTGCCTCAGAAGTAACATCTGCAAAAGAGCAAAGTGTCTTTATAAGTGATGCTGAGAGAAGGTGTGCGCACCCTGGGATGACGCCATTACCGACCCATCCTGTCTGACACCCACACGAGGTGCCTCGAGGGAAAGGCTGCTGAACTAGAATCGGCGTGGGGAACCTTGGGGTCGTGATTGAAGGGCCATGGATAACTGCGTCTCTTCAGTGACCGAGGCTGCAACAATTCTGACCAGGCACATTCCAGGTCAACCAGCCGAGCCCATGAAGCAAGTGAAGCAGAGTATCTTTTCAGAAGATACAGGAGATTCTCTACACTAGAGCACTTTTGACGTAACGGCCACAAGTACGAAGGTGCAAGGGGTGAAAGGAGAAGAGCAGGCACGTTATAAGATGGTTCTGAACCGCCATGCACGTCCGCACATCTGAGGGACAAAGAGACTCTGTCACTAGCGTCAGTTCACAGAGTGTGACTCTCAAAAACTCCCACATCCCCCAGAACATGGGGGAAGAGGAGAGGCTTTATGTGGTCACGTTTAAAGAGTTCTTCAGCCAGTTTCCAAACCGCCTCTCCACTTGAGAATACTGTATTCCAACTCAAGAGCTGAAGTCTTGATGCTCCTTACTGACTTTACAAATACAGTTAGGAAGCTCTAGGAGCTGTGAAAACGTGAAATGCAATGCTCACCAGGAAACACGATCCAGTCCTCCAGGTTTGTGAGAGCCAGGAACGATCGGTGCCACAATGTGCGGTTAGTCTGTCGAAGGAAACGTTTCAGGAGCTGACCCAAGCCTGCTGTCAGCAATACCATCACTGAACAGTACCTAGGGGAAGGACACAGGAGATTTGCTTAAAAAACGAACTCAGCCATGCATGTAAAACACTTTCCTTTAAAACACCCTTAAACTGCGGAAGCCCTCCCCCTCCCGATGTAGGAATTGAGCCTGTCAGTGGCTGGGAGGAACACAGAATCTCAGAAACTCTGGAGCTGAAGCCTGTAGCCCTTCCGCCCACCTGCGGCCTGTGAACATCACCACTTCCTCCTGAAGGGTCTCTGGGGGTCGGCAGTAAAACCACAGCCCATCACCACCCCTGGCACTCTGCCATTGACATGCACTTTATCTGTAAAACCCTGTCTTGAAACTCTCACCTTCCTCAATATACACCCTCCCTGCTGTAAAATTCAAGATAAGAGAAACTCTTCAGTAAATCAAAAAAGGAAGAAAACTGCTTCACTGGCCGCTTACTTTGGAGGGATCTCCTGGGGAGCTGCAAACCCATGCCACAAGACATTGCGCAGGTTGAGTCCCGATGGAGAGCCAACGAACACTTTTAGCACGTCCATCTGATCGGTTAAAGACAACAAATTATTAAACAAGTAATGACTGAACAAACCAACATAATGCTAAAATAAGGTTTTCATTCTGCCTTAGAACTAACAGAATGAACAGTTTTGGCCGGTACATAAAAACAATACAACCAACCCGTGTTGAGCATTTAACACGAGCCAGACACGTTTTCCGTGCATTCAGTGACTCATTCATCCTCAGAACAAGCTATAAAGAAGACACTATCACTGTTCCCACTGTGCAGACGAGCAAATTCCAAGCGAGGAGAGGGAAGCCCAGTCAGGGAGCTGACAGAAGGGAGACGGACCGGCCCGGCAGCACTGCTTCAATGCTGCACGTCCAATATGCCTGATACCCAAATAAAATGAAACAAAAATGATAAACAGAAACTCAGCATGAAGCAGCACATGCTTGTGAGGTGATATCAAGAGGACAGCAGGGCGCATGCCAGGTGCTCAGGCCGTGGTCCTGGGCTGGCCCTGGATGAGCTTATGCACCTCAATAACTGTCTTTATAACTAGAAACACACACCTATTACAGGGACCCTACTGTATGGGTTGCAATAACCACACCACTCCCCGAGAACTACTTCCTGGCTCTGAGCACCACACTCTAGACTAAAAAAACCCAGCAGATGTGGAGATGAAGAGAACTCAAGACCAGTCACTTCAGGAGACCAGGGGAGCCTCCAGGAGACTCGGGGAAGGCAATGAAAGCTGCCTTCAAGTAGGAAAGGTTGCTGCTGGGAAGAGGAAGCAGAGGTGTTCTGAGTTCCCTCAAAGGGCTGATCCCGCATGCAGAAATCAGAGAGAAGTTTCCTCTCAAGATAAGAAGGCCTAACATGGGTTCTGTAATGCCATCCCAAAAGCATCTGCTCTCACGTTACTCTAACACGCTCTGTTCATGCCATCTGGGCAATCAGAAATACAGGTGCCAGTGGCCAAGTAAAACCATCCCGGGGCTACGAAATGGCTGCAGGTAGGCTAACAGCAAAGAGCAGACAGCAAAGAACAGACAAAATTTGTTTAAGAATTCGGTATAACTACAAATGCTTTGTAGTTTACCTTCGTACCAAACTCTCTGTGAAAGAAAACTATCTTCCAAGTGACCACAGGTGAGGAGCTGCAGTGCAGAGCATGGAAACCATCACCTAAAGTCTGCAGACTTCTCATCCAAAACCAGAGTCCAGCACAGCCTGGCCCGGCCAGCGCCGCCCTCTGCGAGACCACCCCAGGCCTATTCTCTGCCTCGCCCGGCCTCACCCCAAACTAGAGGTCACTCATGAGTCTTAGACTCACTTGATCCTGCACCTTCTAGAAGGTTCTGAAAAAGCATGGACCTCCTCGCGTGTTTTTAATCAATAACTAATTATTTTTATTCACCATAAGCTTAAACATTGGCAAGGGACACCACTTCCCACGTGTTAAAAATACTGCTATTTCAGAATAAAATTGTAATATCACTCTGTGAAAGTGCTGAAAATTTTATTCTGAACTAAGTTAGTGTTCTAATCATTAATATATTACGTGTCAAAGTGTCCCTTTCTGGTACAGAATGCGCCTCAACCTAACATGCCGGAAAGGTGAGAGGTGGCCGGAAGAGGGACAGTTTTGAAAGCGAAGGTGGCAGAGAATTGTTTCAATCACTGATACAATTATTTTTTTCCTACAGCAGCATCGATGTCGGAGGAACAAAAGTATAGGTAATTTCAACTGTTTTGTGTTGCTCTTAAAAAACCAAACCCACCACTGCAGAGTCGATTCCGACTCATAGCAACCCTACAGGATGGAGCAGAACTGCCCCACAGGGTTTCTGAGGCTGTAATCTTTATGGAAGCAGACTGCCACCTCTTTCTTCTGCAGAGCGGCTGGTGGGTTGAATTGCCGACCTTTTGGTTCACAGCTGAGTGCTTTAACTGCTGCACCACCAGGGCTTGTGTTGTTTTTGCTCAATAAACTCTCTCAGTGAATAAGCTTACCACAGGCTGCCCGAAGACTTGAGCAAGTTCATCAGATGCAAGTAGATCTCTTAGAAGAAAAGGGCATTCCTTCCCAACCAGCAGAAACACCTACAATTCAAACAACATTGTCGTAACAGTTGCACTATAGTGAGCCAATTAACTGAAGGAGAAACATTATCCATAAACCAACTGTTTGTATCAGCCAGGGAGAGGGGAGGACTTCGATGCCAATGTTTTGATTTGAAAGTCATCCAAAAAGAAATACATTAAAATTCTGTGTCAAATGGTTGCATTTTGTAGGAAAACAATAATTAAAATCAAGAAGTGTGTGATAAACACTTTAGCATTAATTCAAATAATTGAATGGAGCAATAACGAAGGCGTTCTTACACTTACATTCCCCAAAGCTCGCTCCAGACATGATGTGAGCTTCGTTAAGCTGAGAGAAATAGCAGCAGACTGCAGACTTTCCAAGGCGTCAAATATTTCAGGAAATAACTGTTCAGAATAAGACTTACGTTAGATTTTGTGTTTATTAAGACATATTTCTCAAAGTAACAATACTATTAAATAAAATCCAAACCTCTAAAGGTTTCAGCTGGCATATCTGATTTTTTTAGTTTGGCATAGGTAAATACTTTCTATACAAACATAACAATACCTAAAGTATTGAAGTACAGCCAGAATGCTCCTTAGAAGCAAGGATGGTGAGACTACATCTTACATACTTTGGACGTGTAGTCAGGAGGGATCAGTCCCTGGAGAAGGACATTATTCTTGGTAAACTACAGGGTCAGCAAAAAAGAGGAAGTCCCTCAACAAGATGGAGTGATACAGTGCTGCAACAATGGGCTCAAGCGTAACAAGGACTGTGATGACGACGCAGGACCAGACAGTGTTTCGTTCTGTTGTCCACAGGGTCTCTAGGAGTCAGAACTGACTAGATGGCATCTAACACAACAACAACAAAGGATCAAAAAACAGAAAAAGTTCTTTCAAATGTATTTAAATATTTTTTGAAAGCAATAAATCTGGAAAAATTGTAAATTAAGAAGTCAAATATCCTGAGGTAAATTTTATTTCCCATTTTGATTTAGAATAGTTCTTCAAAACAGATAAACAGTTGAATGGATGTGGGCATCAGGGGTGGAAAGGAGGAGTGTGCTGTCACAGTATGGGGAGCGCAATTAGGGTCACATAACAATGTATGAATAAATTTTTGTATGGGAGACTAACTTGAAATGTAAACTTCATTTAAACTACAACAATAAACAAACAAACAAAAAATTGCCTTAAAAAAAAAAAAACAGATAAACATAAGGCAGTTCGTCCACCACTTCAAAGAGCTATTCAAAGGGAGAAACTACAGTCCCACCACCCTGAAAGAGGAAATTCAATGTATTTTAGAATGACTCGGCATAGTTTCTGCTCTGTTTGCTTATTTAATGTGCCAAGTGAAAACCCAACCAATGAGCAAACCAACCAAGATTTAGGCTTGGCCCAAATTACTCCCTCCTCCCCTCAATTCACCCTTAACAAGCCAAGCATCCCCACCCCTAGTCTTCTAGTCCCACTTCTCAAGAAAACCTTACTCTCTCCCCAGAAAGTCTCCCCTGTATTCTGGAGTGGTCCGTTTTTCTTCTGTCCCTGGATAAACTATGTACCAAGGCTACCTCCCCAGCCTCTAATCCTACGACGTTGTGGTTGGGTGCCGTCGAGTAGATTCCAACTCACAGCGACCCCAGGTGACAGAGCAGAACTGCCCCACAGGGTTTCCTAGGCTGTAATCTTTACGAGAGCAGATCACCAGGTCTTTTCTCCCTCGGAGCTGCTGGGTGGGTTTGAACCGCCAACCTTACAGTTAGCAGCCGAGTGCTTAACCTTTGCCCCACCAGGGCATCAAAATGCCTTTTGTTCAAAGCTGGGATTTCTCAGCGCAGGCCTTGCAAACTCTGGATAATAGCTGAAGCCTCTTTTGCAACCTTTAAGACTTCACAGTTTTAAGACCCAGGGGATGGAAGAGACCCCTTCAAAACTACTGACAAGTAAGGCTTCGTAAGGGCACCTTATCCTGGATTCCTAAAGACTGTTCAAAGCCACACCTCTGGGAAGTTTGTCCACTGGAACCACGGTGCGTAGCGAATTTCAAACTGCGCCTTGGTCAGAGATGAGAAGTGCAGGTGGACAGCTTCACACAGAGGGCCCAGCCGCCGCACACTTCCCTGGTAATCCAGGCTTTGGTCTTACAGGATGAAAAAACAACTTTTAGGACTCAGCTATTATCATATGATGAAAAATACCTAAATCATCAAAGAAAAGTGTGTTAACGCATAATTGTAAAATTTCCACAGACTCAATCATCAACTGATAATTAAACCTGTAATATATAACAAATATACTACTAGACTATTGGAAATAATTTTCATAATGCTTAACTGATCATAAAAGAAAAATGTACTATATCTGTAGAGAATCTGGAAAATACACAAAGGTTCAAATGAAAAAAATATTTTCTTCAACTTCTTTACCTGTGTATAAGCTTAATGAGGTTCATATTGTATATGCAATACTGTAATCTGATTTTTTTTTTACTCAACATTTTTAGTCTATGCAATTTCTAATAACATTATTGTAGAACATATTAACATTAATATATTGTTTTTTAATTAATTTTCTACAAGGTTGGACCTAAACATTCATGATTCACAGTCAAAGAATGTAACAGGTGGAGTCTCCCTCTCTGCCACCCACATCTCCTCCCTATTCCAACTACTACTATTAGTACCTCGGGTATCTTTTGAAATATTTATACACATAAGCAAATACAAATACATATATGCCGCTCCTATTTTTTCACTTAATATAGCTTAGAGATATTTCTGTACCAGAAAGATGAACGTCTTCATTCTTTTTTACCACTGTATAATATGCCATGTATGCACTGACCATTATTTACTTAACTGATCCTACTGGAGGAGTGTTGGTGGCACTGTGGTTAAAACACTCGGCTACTAACCAAAAGGTCAGCGGTTTGAACCCACCAGCCGCTCTGCAGGAGAAAGATGTGGCAGTCTGTTTCCGTAAAGATTACAGCCTTGGAAACCCTATGGGGAAGTTCTACTCTGTTCTACAGAGTCGCTATGAGTCAGAATCAACTCAACAGTGGGTTTAGGTTGGTGGATCCTCCTGCTAGACATCTGCTTGTTTCCTATTTTTCTTTTTTGCTATTACAAGCAATGCTGCAATGCACAATCATCACTTTGATATGTGCAAGAGTATGTGTCTCATATATTCCTAGAGTCTGCTCATTTGTAATTTTTCTGACTATTATTATATTTCCCAACCCTTATCAATGCTCCAAAAAATGTACACACGTGCCTGGAAGACATTTAAAATGATTGTACAACATACTACTGTTCAATTTTTTGGCCTTAATTCATATGACTCCTATTTTCCTCTTCCCTCCTCTTGTCCCCATCTCTGTCTGGACAACTGGCCTGGAGAACCATCTCTAGGCCTTGAGATAGCCAGCATCAACACGTCCGTCGGCCCCTCACCACCTCCTTAGCTTCCTTTTCATGCAAAGGTTTTCTAAGCCTAGCTTCCTGTTAACCACTTTTTACAAACTGTTGTAACAAATGTTATTGACATAGAAGCCTGTTCACAGTACATTAATCTGTTTCTCTAGCTCTCCACCCCCCTCTCCCCGCAGCCCCTGGTAACCACCTATCTTCTTTTGTCTCAATGGATTTGCCTCTTCTAGGTATTTCCCAGGGGTGGGTACCCACTAACTCTTACTGCCTCTCTGGCCTCGTTCCCTCTCTTTGCATGCTGACTCCCTGTCTTAGTTACCTAGCGCTGCTATAACAGAAATACCACAAGTGGATGGCTTTAACAAACAGAAATTTATTTTCTTCACAGTTTAGGAGGCTAGAAGTCTGAATTCAGGGTGCAGGCTCTAGGGGAAGACCTTCTCTTTCTGTCAGCTCTGGAGGAAGGTCCTTGTCCCTTCTGAGCTTCTGCTCCTGGGCAATCTTCATGGGGCTTGGCATCTCTGTTCCCCCATCACTGCTCTGCTCACTTGTTTAATCTCGTTCATATCTCAAAAGAAACTGACTCAAGATACATTCTACACTAACCCTGCCTTGTCAACATAAAAAAGAAAACTTATTCCCAAATGGGATTATAACTACAACACAGAGGTTAGGATTTATGACACATATTTTTGGGGACACAATTTAATCCATAATACTCCTTTTCTCTTTTGGGCTAGGCCTACATTAAAAAAGCCTCTAACGAAAAGAAGCAATGGTCAAAATGGGAATTTTACATGTATTGACTGATGATTGGGGCACAAAGAAAGTACCAACCTGATTCTGTAAAACTCACACATTCTGTGATTGTTTTCCAGCAAACTTCGCCATTTTCCGTTACAATGCTATTGATATCACGATTTTCTACGACTTCAAACCCAAGTTTACAAATCATATCATACACGGAGGGAGAAAGGCACGTAGTAATACCATCCCCTATTAATATCTGAAATATGAGACATAAAAGACACTGTTTACCAGGAAAGAAAAACACAGTAATATTAATTACATATTTAAGTCATAAGAAAACTCTATTTTAAATACAGAATGTACTCAGGAATAGCCAGTGTCAACACGCTTTCTGGATATCATGACAGCTATGTGATTAAGGATAAAATTTACGTATTTTCAAATAAAAGATAAAAATTTAAATTTTACTGATCAGAATACTTAAGATATGGGTTCACAAAAGCTCAATGAGTCTTATGAACAGAGCATTATTCCTTTCAGTATTCCTTTACCACCCCGGAGTTACCAAAGCAATCATTGTTTCATGAGGAGTGGGAGAGCAGAAAGGAGCCGTGGCGACACAGTGGTTAAGTGCTGGGCCGCTAACCAAGAGACTGGCAGTATGAACCCACCAGCCGCTTTCTCTGTGAGAGAAAGATGTGGCAGTCTCCTTCCACAGAGACCGTTGTTGTTAGGTACCGTCAAGTTGGTTACAATGCATAGCGACCCTACATACAGCAGAATGAAACACTGGCCAGTCCATAAAGATTACAGCCTTGGAAAACCTATGAGGCAGTTCTACTCTGTCCTACAGGGTCACTATAAGTCAGAATCAATTTCATGGGTTTGATTTTTCTTTGGGGGGGGATAACAGGAAATCAAGCACAATGAATTAAAAACCAGACAAAAAGCATACCTCTGCTCCCTGTGTGATGTAAAAAGCAGCAGACTATACTGCTTTTCCAGGAAGGAGTAAAATGCAAATTCTCCTAATTATCCCCACAATACACTAAAATCATCTTATAAACCTGCAAAAAAGTAATTTTCTGGGTCAAAAAAATCAGAACTAGGGGCTCTTACTTTGATGTATCAAGTTGAGGGGCTAGAAAGATTTAACTGTGAATCCTTCCTGCTTTGAAAAAGTTACTTAACATGTCTGAACCTCAGTTTTCTCAACTGTAAAACGGTGCAAAATATTACCACCTTACAGGAGTGCTGCAATTGGAGATAATACTCGAAAAGCATCTAGTACATAAAAAAACCTCAAACCAAACTCATTGCCATGGAGTCAATTCTGACTCATAGCTACCCTACAGGACAGAGTAGAACTGTCCCATAGTGTTTCCAAGGATAGGTTGGTGGATTCGAACAGCTGACCTTTTGGTTAGCAGCCAAGCTCTTAACCACTGTGCCACCAAGGCTCCATCTAGCACGCAGAACTCAAAAATAGTAGCTATTGTTACTATTGACTATACATGTCTGATAGGGTCCCTAAGTCAGAATCGACTGGACAGAAACGAGTTTTTTTTTAAGGAAGGAAAATGAATACAATCTTTATGAGGCAACCCTACAGAATCAATCTTGTCATACAATTAATGAGATCCTTGTGATTTCGCTTTATACTGTTACCGAAACAGGCTAAAAATGTCTAATACAATCTTAATCTGCAAGTGTAAACTCTAGAGATAGTTCTTGTTAAACAGCACTTCACAATATTGCTTAGTATACTACATAGATACAACATCCTTTCAGGGAGGAAGGCCACAGCCAGGATAAACAGTAAAAGTAGCAACCGTTTTTCTTTGCACGATCCTGGCTGAGCTTAACAGCTTTAAAACCAAAAGTCTCAACTCATAGTGATCCTATAGGGCAGAGGAGAAATGTCCCATAGGGTTTCCAAAGCTTTACAGAAGCAGACTGCCACATCCTTCTCCCGAGGAGCCTCTGAGTGGGCTCCAATCGCTGACCTGTCAATTAGCAGCCAAGGCCTTAACCACTGCGCCACAAATAGCCGGCACGTCTCCATACGAATGTAAAGGGTGTTCTTAAAACTATTGATTCGCGTATTTCACTTAAGAACCTGGGTGATGGAGATGGTTGAGAATTCGACCACTCAATCTGCAGGGACAGCGCTAAAGGAGAGGGGGCCTTGGGGATATTTTCCAAAGTCACAAAGCCAAGCACCAAGTCATCCCTGAGTTCGTCTAAGTAAGGCTGGCTCCGCAGGTGTGCCCCTTTGCTTTGGCCTGTGAATACCCTACGCACAGAAAAACGAACAAAATAACCCGACTTTTCACACGACAGCGAATCCACGCCCCAGGCGCACTCCTACAGCCCAGAAACGAGCAGCCGGGATACACTCTACATAAACAGTTAATAGCTACCAAAGATCAAATATTCACACTTTGCGTTAATATTTATTGGGCGCCCACCACTGCGGGGGCACTGCTGTAGGGACTCAGGATACAGAAGGGAAGAGGAGAACACAGGTACTATGCTAACAGGACCCCAAACCCGCTCTACCTCCATCATTTCCGGAGCCCAAGCCGTCGGCGCAGAGAGATGACGCAGCCCCTACCCACCCCTCCCGCGCAGCGCTTCCCAGCCTAGCCGGCGCAGTTGGATGACGCAAGCCTCTCCTGCTTCTCCCTCTTGGCCGGGCAGCGCTTCCGGGCCTCGCTGGCGCTGATAGATGACGCATTCCTCCCTAGCTTCCGCCCGGTCTTCTTGCGGTGCGCGCGGGGACTTCCGGTCTCGCCCGGGTGGGTGGAGGCGTTTGGTGCTGACCAGAGAGCGAGAGCAGATCGGTTGGCTGGAGAGCGGCGCGAGATGGAGAAGCGAGGCCGACTCGGAAAGCCGCCCTCAAGCCACACTCCTCCGGCGACACAGGCGGTGCCTCGGAAAGAAAGGAGGCCGAGCATGTTCGAGAAGGAGGCAGTGAGTGCGGAGACTGCCAGGGCCCGAAACAGCCTCTTTGGCCCAGCCCCAGTCACGGCCCCAAACCAGAGGATTTATCCTCGGGACCCGAGCTTGAGGCCAGACACGATCGGCAGCCCCTTTAGCCGGGTGCTGAGATTCGTTTTGGTTAAGGACATAGAACCCGACATAGCTGAGTGTTTACCAGCACCTTGCAGGTTTTCTAAGAGTCATGTTGCTCTTTACAGAAATAGGAGAGTTTAGTATATTTTGCGGCCTCATACAAACCACAGGCAGTTGTAATAGTCAAAACGACTGTGTATGCTACTTAAAAAAAAAAAAATCTGACAAATCAAGCAGAACATATATTGAGTTTTTACAAAAAGCAGACAAGCTCGTTATTTGAAGAATATACAGGAGAAAAAAATTGAGAATATTCTGCCCATTATATTTTCTGAAATTGATGGAAAGCGTCATAGTTCAGTTTTATTGATGATTTAAAAACAAACAAATCAACCCCACACAGTCGGGTCAATTCTGACTGACAGCGACCGTGTAGACCCTACCGGTGATAAGTCGTGGTTAGTGATACAGCAGCGGTGTTTTTATGATCATGGTTTGAAAACCATGTAATGTAATCAAGACTTCACCTGTTTTTAGACTCTGAGAGAAAAAGTAATTTGTCCAAGGATGCACAACTGTGTAATGATAAAACGGAGACTAGAACCTATTCCCTGAGATGTCTGGTCCACTTCTCTGTAGGGGTTTCTTTTCATAAGTATGAGACGGGACTATAATTGATAGAATGGAGGCAGGGATAACAAACACCACCAGTTTTTGAAGGTCCTAAAACACTTCAGCCTCACTCCCAGGTAACAGAAAAAGAATACTCAAAACTCGGGACAACATTTTAGGTTATTTTGTCTCTAGAAATAGTTTTGAGTTGTTTCTGTTTGCTACTGGTAATTTTGGGAGAATCAGAACATTCTGAATATATTAAAAGCTGATAGTGTTTGTTTTATCCAAGTTGATAATGAACTTTTCGGTGTGCTTTGCGTTCAAGTGATTAAAGGAAAATAAGTCTGAGGCAAGAAGGAGAGAAGGCAGCTGGGATCCAAGAATCAACTTAGATTAGGAGGCCAGGAAACAGGATCATAACGTAGACTGTGACAAGTATCATTTATCAAGTGCCAGCATCTGGGCCAAGAAACTTGTATACGGGTAGTCCCCAACTTACAGTGGGGTTCCTTTCTGATGGCTCCACCATAAGTAGGTTCTGACATAAGTCAAATAGTTCTTTTTTTTGGGAGGGGGCTTCATTATTATTGCATTTTATTATCTATATCTTTATACATTCCGCAGTGTTTTGATAGTAAATCATAAAATTGAACATCTGAGAATGATAACATCAGGGAATTATGCATTGCTGCATATTACTAACAATGAGATGTACAAAAAAAAAGAAATCGTAAGTGTGGTTTGTCGTAACTCGAGTACGTTGTAAGTTGGGAACTACCTGTACATTATCTAAATCTATGACAGCTTTTAGGTGTTTACACTTTACAGAAGGAAGGACAAAGTAAAGGCAAAAAAAAAAAAAAGATCAAATTCACACAACTAAGGAAAAGAGCAGAGCAAGGCTAGACACCTAAATCTGGTGGGACTCAAACTTCATGCTCCCAAAGACTATACTATATTGCTTGGTAATAAGTGGGTAACAGACAGATCACCAATAAGAAAGAAAAAATGCCATATTTTCAGGCAGACAAGCTTGCCTTTTATAATCTGAAGTCTGAGGCAGTGGCGATTCCGTGGCAGAATTCTTGCCTATGATACGGAAGACCTGGGCTCCATTCCTGGCTAATGCTCCTCGTGCACAGCCACCACCTGTCTGTCAATGGCGGCTTGCATATTGCTGTGATACTGAACAGGTTTCAGTGGAACTTCAGATGAAGATGGACTAGGAAAAAAGGCCTGGTGATCTGCTTCCAAAAATCAGCCATTGCAAACCGTGTGGATCATAGTAGTCCAGTCCACAACCCATCATGGGATGGTGCAGTACCAGGCAGCATTTCATTCCATTGTGCATGGGGTTGCTGTGAGTCAGGGGCCAACTTGATGGCAGCTAACAATAACAAGAAGGCCTGAAGCAGTCTTAAAAAAATGAATGCACCAAAAGAAAGAGATAAATAAGTACACTTGGTATATTGAGTGAAATCTGGGAGTAGGGGTACATGGACCAGTGCCGTTCTTGCTTATTTGGTATGGATTGTGATCAGTCATAGCTATCTTTAAAATCTAGTCTTCTAGAGGTATGAAATTTGAAAAGACCAAAAAATTAGTAGGAAGAAAAGTATCCATAAACTCATTGAGGTGGTTGACAGTGGCTGCAACAATGGGCTCAAACGTTGCAGTGATTGTGAGGACAGCACAGGACAGGCAGTGTTTCATTCTGTTGTACATAGGGTCACTATGAGTTGGAAGCAATGTGACAACAACAAAATCTCACTAAACATGTCTGGGAACACTAGGTGTACTAATGAATTATTTATAACTCTCAGGTAGCTGATAATTTCCATGTTCCTTGGCATAGAAAAAAATAAGACACACAAATCACTGTGACGGACATGTGTTGATTTTGTCTGCCCTGTACCCATATATTTGTCTTCTAACAGTAGCACCTCCGTTTTCCTTTGGAGAACTAATTCATCCCTCATAGGATAGAGTTTTGGAGGGGCGACCAGTTATTTTCCTTCGTGGCAAGGATGAGACCCAAACCACGCTAATTAAATGAACTTTCCCTGGAATGTTAAAAAGGAAATGATTGAGGTTGATTCAAATTGAGGATGGGTGCTGAAGTGTCCCATGAATTTTGTCTTTCTGACCCTGGTGATTTCATTTTCTCTTTAATTCTGTGAGCTACTCCATATCTTCCCAATAAATTACATTTTTGCTTAAGTAACAAGAGTCAGTGTCTGTCAATTGCAACCAAAGATCCCAAAACCTTAAGCAGATTATAAAAAAGTGAAGCCTTGAATAATCTCACTTGTGAATATGCGTTTGAAAATCTTAAACAGTAGCAAATAGCATTTAGAAACACGTGAGTAAAAATATCTCATGACCAAGTCTGGTTTATTGTGGGAATATAAATTGACTCAGTGTAAGGAAATACGGTATCAATAGGTTAAATAATTAAACCGGTTTTTGTAGATGCCAAAAAGCTTATTATATTTAAAACCTATTCCTAATTTTTAAAAATGACACAGTCTTCCTTAATAAAGAAAATACTAAATCAGGAGGTCAGTGTTATCTATTAGGAAGAGATGGTAGAGATGTGATTTTTCAGCATATTAGAATCTCTTGGGATTAATTTCAAACCACACGTGCATACATATCCCACCCCCCAAGAAGCTCACTGCCCTTGGGAGACACTGTTAATGACACGTGGTTGTATCCCTTGAGTATATTGGGGAGGGGGTGGGGAGGAGATGCAATCATTACACTAGAGAAGCATTGTCTTAAGAACAAAATACATTGTCTTTAAGAGGTTTAGGCAATTAATAACACCTGTCTTACCCTGCCCAAGTTCAGAACCAAGTAAAAGATAGGCATAGCAGTCTGAAAGATGATAAAACATTTATTTCTCGCAGTCAAGGTGGAGTAACTCCTACTAGAAACTACTAAACACACACATACACAGTATATGACACCATTGTTTTCATTGGCTGGATGCCAGGTAGCACAAGATAGTGATCCCTGAGAGAGGAGAAACAGGCAACATTAGCCCTAAGATTGCCTCGTTTTACTCCTTGTGAATATTTCTAGGCCATGGCACAGGGAGAGGTCTGCCTGGGCAGAGAAGGAGTTGTGAATCTGCAGTGAAGGGTATTGGAGAGCAGAGAGCTGCAGCAACCGCTCCAGAGAACAGAAGGTCTCCGTCAGGTCTTTAGTTTAGTACTTGTTAGCGCATCTGCTGAGGAAGCCACTCGAGGGCAGGGAAAGAACCACCCAGAGGGAGCAGAAGAAATTCTCAGACTCACACAAAACGGTTTGTGTTCCTACCATTAAAAGTGGAAAAGTATGTAAATCATAGGGCATTGGTTAGAGTCCTAAGAAATGCATTAGGTTCGTAGTAGGGGAAAAATTTGCCATAGACTTACAGGCTGCTCTGGTCTGGCCTATCAAAGCTGAAAAACAAGCCTCAGAAGGATTGAACCAGTTCCAACTAACCACATTCCCACAGAAGGTTGAAGAATTTACCAAGGTAGAATTTCAGTATCTGGTGTCCAATTACACATTAGCACGTCTACAAAGAAGCAGGAAAATACAACGCGAAAGGAGGAGAAACTACAGAAACAGACCAGAAACGACACCAAGATAAGATTAACTACAAAAGACCCTTAAAGTAGTTAGTATAAAGCAGTTTTTATACTGATTTTCATCCAATTAAAGCAGTTATATTACTTACAAAGCACTTATAGTTACATTCCATGTATTCAAGAATATAGATGAAAGCTTGAGCATGTTAAGGTCCAAATCAAATGTCTACACGTGAAAAATACAGTCATAGATGAAAAATACATTAAATTAGATAAAAAGCATTAGACACTGCAGAAGAAAGAATTAGTGAATTGAGACGTGCAACAGAAAAAATACCTGAAAAATCTTAGCAGACATCAGTAAGCTGTGGGACAACTCTAAGTCACCTATTATTCTTGTAACTGAAGTCTTCAAATTAGGAGAGAGGGCAGACAAAAAATATTTGAAGAAATGATGAAAACTACAAGCCCACAAATCCAGGAATCTCAATGAGCCCCAAGCACAAGAAACATGAAGAAAAATATACCAAGACATATCATCAAAGTGCTTAAAGCCAATGGATCAAAATAAAAAAAAGTAGAGAAAAAAGGACACATTATGTACAAAGGAACAAAGATAAGAATAATGGAGACTTCTCATCGGAAACAACAGAAGCCAGAAAACGGGCATCATCTTTGAAATATTGAAAGAAAACGACCTAC